AGGGAGGATAGAAATGAGGAAGATGGTTAAAGTATTTTAAAAAAAAATCATATTAACTAATTTAATTAACATTCTTAATTAACTCAAATTAGTTTATTACATTTTGCATTAATGACCGGAGGCATAATTCTTTATATTTCTATTTAAATTTTAAATATAAATTTAAATAAAATTTAAATAATTGTATTATATTATATATTAAGAGACAAACTATTATTTAAATTTTTATTATGCCTATTTAGGTCTTATATTTAAGACTGAATATGGTACATATATACATTTATTAAGAAAATCTGTTACCTTATTTTGTGTGTGTGCGCGCGCTTTTTTTTTTTTGGGAAAAAAGAAAACTCTTTTCTTAATCTATCCTAACCCCAACGAGACGCCGACTCTTCTCCCCATTTGACACGCCTCGTCCTTACCAATTAGTCCACCTCTCTCATGCACCAAACACTTTTTTTAAAATACGATTGCGCCATTGTTTGGAGTCACGTTTTGAACGCCCAGAAGCTGTTCTTGGAGGTGATGAGTAACCCGATGCCCATTGTATCTTAAATTCATCAAATCTAAATCATATATATCTTATTTAGATAGTTAGGATTTGATTTTTATTTATTTAAAATAATTATTTTAATATGGATGAAATCTAAAATAAAAATAATCTCTTAACTATCATTTTTTTTAAAAAATAGTTTTTTCTATTTTAAAATAATTAATTAAAATATTTTAAATTTGGATCATTCAAATCAGATATAGACATTCCGTATTTGATGAGTTTCAGATACTTATCAAAGTGATGAGTACCAAAATTAGTTTCGAGGTAATAATTATAAATACATTTTGCAATTTTGTTTTTCCTGCACATTTAGCTTATAAGTCCGCATGAGGTGCTCATCGCATCTGTGAGCACCCACGGCTCAGCGCCCAGACGCCATCGTTAGATTTTTTCTCCGTCCCTTGTTCGGTTACCATCAAAAAAGATCTTGGATAATTTTTTTCTCCATCCCCACTTGGTGCCTTATTTGCCCCATCTCTCTGCTTTTTCTCTCATGCTGTTACTAGTCATGTTTTCTTTTTCAGAGATCACCCGATTTTTATTTTAACATCTTTAAAACGAAAAAAAAAATCAAACATTGCAATTGTTTTTATAATTAATACAAATATATATTATACGTATTTTTAAATTATATTTAAACTGAAATTAGGCCTTCTTCAATGTGTCACAAAGAAAAATCCCAACAACATGGTTTGATTGTCCATCATTTTTATGGGGATTAAAATACATCTAACATCGTAAAATATTTTTTAAGTTCTAAAAAATGCTTTGAGCTTGTGTTGGATAAACTACAAATTAATTTTAAAAAAACATTTTGTAAGTACCTATAATTTTTTCTTAATTTCTAATTTGATACCTGTATTTTTTTTCCTCTTAAGTAAACACTTCAATTTTACTATATTAGCACCGTTAGTTTCTGTAATTTTACTCTATTAGTACCATTAGCCCCTGTGCAAAAATTAGTTATACTAATAGAGCAAAATTATAGTATTTAATTAAGAGAAAAAAATACATATCTACCAAATTAAAAATTGAAGAAAACTATAGGTACCTACAAAATGATTTTTCTAATTAATTTAGTGTACTAAATACTACTTGACAAATATTTAAAGATGTTGGGTGTATCTTTTAAGTACTAACAAAAGTTTTGAGGTGTTGAATAAATCACAAATTAATTTAATATACTAAATACTACTTAGAAAATACTTGAGGATGTATCTTTTAAGTACTAAAAAAGTTTTCGGGTGTTGGATAAACTAAAAATTAATTTAGTATATTAAAAACTACTTAAAAATACTAAAGAATGTTGAGTGAAATTTTTAGTGCTTTGAAAAATACTTTAAGATGGATGTATTTTAACCTCTACAAAAATTATAGGCAATCAAACCGTGTTGTTAGGAGTTGTTTTCTGAAATATTGTAGGAGGCCTAATTTTAGTTCAAATATGATCTTAAAATACATGTAGTATATATTTGTGTTAATTATAAAGGTAATTGCAAAGTTTTTTTTGGTTTAATTTTAAAGATGTTAAAATAAAAATGGGGTGGCCTTTTAAAAAAAGGAAACGTGATTAAGGAAAAAAGGGCACATATGGCGAAACGGAGGGATCACGTGACGTGGGTGGAGAAAAAGTTATTTGCCTCTCTCCTGCATCAAAACGGCGGCGTTTGGACGCTGAGCATGAGCTGCTCATGGATGCGATGGGCACCTCATGCAGACGGGCTAAAAGTTAAATTATGAGGTACGATTGGATTAAGCTGCTTTTTACTTTTTTTATCGTGCTTATTTTGGCCCGGCGGACTGTTACAAGCAGAATAATTTTTCTCTCTCTTCTAAGTTGGTGGACCATTCTTTTGGGTTGCTCATTTTATTGTGCCTAATATAGTTTTCATAATAATATTTTTAATTTCTTAAATTATTTATCATTTTATATTTACATAAATCATTTTTATAATATTTCTAAATTTTTTAAATATATTTTATTCATTGAATTTCCTTTTTAAATAGCTTAACATTATTATATTATGTAAATTGATCATTTTTATCATCTTTCATGATTTAATAAAAGTTATATCCATTTTGATAAATTGATAAACCAAGCTTACTTATTCAATCATAATTCAAACAATTTCTATTTTTACTAATTCACTTATTTATATAAGAACCAAACATAAATCATATTACCCAATCTAACTTTTATAAAAGTCAAATTGAAGATAAGCTATTTTTTCTATTACTAGTTCAAATGGACCCTACAAAAGAACTTGAAACTTGCTTATAGCTTATGCAAAAGTAACTTTTTGTAGTCAAAAGATATTTTTGCTCCTATATCTTTGTTATCTTTATACTTTTCTTTACATATTTCTTGTGCTTTCCAACCAATTTTTAGTTATTTATTTATGATTCTCTCTTAAATGAAAATAACTTTTAACATAGTTTTTTATAATATTTTTTTTAATATTATTTTTATTTTATATTTACATAAGTTGTGCATACAACCAATTAATTACATAATATTACTCCTCAGTTTTAAATATAAGACCCATTTTATACTACAAGTTATATTAAAAAATAGGTATTATATTTAAGATTGAAGAAATATTTGATTGGGTCAATATAATTTTTCATTCCTGAAATTGGAGTCCATTTTGATTTTGTTCTCTCAAATTTCAAACCCATGATTTTAGTCCCTAGATTTAATTCGTTTTAAAACTTTAGTATCTAAAGATGTAACAGTGTTACAATTTGCTCAAATGTCGTAGACGGTGATACAGTGATGAGTGTTGACTTATCAGATAACATCTAGATGAATCTTTTGTGAATAAAAGAGGGAAAAAGAACAAGTCTTCAAAACATAACTATTTAGTCCCATTTTTTGGTCGGTGTTCATATGAGAAGTTATTCACTGTGTTGTGTTTTGAAAACTCATTTCCATTTGTTCTCCACATTACATTTAGAGGACTTGTTTTTTCCTATTATCTGCACAAAGTCCAGTTAGGTGTCATTTGATGAGTCTGCATAATTGTCGTGTAAAACACTTCATTTGATGAGTCTGCATATTTTAATACTATTACACCTCCAAGGAGTAACATTTTAAGACACCGTTCAATTTCAAAGATTAAAACTAATGGTTTGAAATTTAAGATACCAAAATTAAAATAGGCCCAAATTTGAAGGCCAAAAAATTATATTAACTCTATTTGATTCAAAATTTTTCATGTGAATATGATTTCTAATTTAAATATATTTTATTTATTAAATACTACCTTCGCTCCTAATTATAAGAGCCAGTTGACTAATTTAAAAAGATTAAGAAAGTAAGTTGAGTTAGTTATTTGTCCTAAATAGGTGTAGTTTTTCCTAAAATATCCTTATTAATCAAGTGTATTGACTAAAACTATCATTGTTAAAAGGGCTACATTAGAAAAAAATGTATAAATATGAGAGACAAAGTGGATTGGGGTCTTATATTTAGGACCAAAATAAAAATAAAACAGGTTCTTATATTAAAGACCGGAGGTAGTATAACTTCTTCCTATTATAATAATTCAAAATTATTACATTATGTAAATTTGTGAATTTTTTATTTTTTATTATTTAATAAAGTCATACTATTTTTGGTAATTTTACAACTAAACTTGCTTTTTCAATAACAATTAACAGCGCCTACATTTACAAACCTGCTTAATTATGTGAAGTTAATTTAAACATAAATTATATTACTCACTCTAACTTTTATTTAATTAAGTTTTTAAAAGCCCAATTAAAAATAAGCATATTTTTCTACCATCAATCCAAATGGTCCCTTTGCTTCTTCTTTTTTTTTTATAGGTATATGTATTTTTTTTTATTAGAAGTGATCTTATTCAAAATACTATCAAATATCAAATGTGATATTTCTTTCAGCAAGAATTTAAATTTTGCTCCATCGCATAACAAAAGACTGGGGAAAGACTCAAGCTTGGTCCAAGTTTAATGTGGTTTTTATGCAAAAGGCCAAGTTGCCGGACCGCTAACCCAAACGCCAAATAGCCCAAGCAAGCTTAGAGGCTTCAAAGCAACTTTTTCAGATCCAGACATGGATCCAAACTGAGCATTCCTCAACCAGGCCGTCCATCTATCACCCTCGACTCTCGCTCTTCAAGACTTCAAACTCGGCAATCGGCAGCTACCAACCTCACTTTCAACAATCGAACACAGATATCAGGCCCAGCTTTAGAGTTTCCTTTTCGATCTCGCTTGTCGCTCTCGACCTCTTATTCTTGTCGTCGGCCGTCGCCGGTACCTTTGAAGACTTGATTTTTCATGTGGTCTCTTTCTATCTCTTCGGCTATACCCCACTCATGCTTGCTTTGACTTTTCTTCTCCTTTTTAAGTTTTCTGTTCATTTATCATACACCTTTGTTTCCTTTATGGAATGTTCTGTTCTAGCTAATGTTTCATGAGATTCTTTAGTTGATCTCGTCTGACATATAAGAACTTGATTGAAGGTGCCATTCATTTATGCTAAATTTGTGGTTTCCTTTCCCTTGTTGTTTTTAACAAAGCCGTTCAATTGTATGTCTGGCTAGTTTAAATGCACCAACGCTTATTTTCATTAGAACATCCCTGTGTGCCTCTTTTTCCTTCAATCATATTTTATCTTCTACTCATTGAGGTCGCAGATCAGCCTCTTATCTGTGTATTCATTCATTCTTTTTTCTAAAATGCAAGTTACATTCCATTCAATCTAGAACAGGACAGTAGTTAATATAAATCAGTACTTAAGCCTGTTGATGTTATGTTGGTATTTCTAATTGCAGCTGATTAATGGCTATTCAGATGCGGGTTCACATACATGTTGGAAGCTGAAAATGTCTACGATCTTTGGTTCGATATTGGGTTCAAAATTGAGATAATTTTCATCTCAGAGTCCAAACCAAACTCAGGAGGGTTCCTCATCAAATATATATCTGCATTATTGTCTTGTTTCCTTCAGTCATTTAACAGAAGCCAAGCCTCATCAAAGAAGTTCAAAATTCTTGACTCCCCAAAATGACAATCTGGTGGTTCTTTCTTGTGGCCACTTGCTTAAAACTTGTTCTCCTCCATTCCTACCGGAGCACAGACTTTGAGGTCCACCGGAACTGGCTGGCTCTTACTCACTCTCTCCCTCTCTCTCAATGGTATTATGATGAGACCAGTCCATGGACACTTGACTATCCACCATTTTTTGCCTATTTTGAACGCTTTCTATCCATTTTTGCAAACCTAATTGATCCCAAAATAGTTCATCTTCAAGAGGGCCTGAATTACAGTTCAAACACGGTGATTTGTTTTCAAAGAGCCACTGTAATGCTGTCTGATTTATGCCTTCTCTTGGGGGTATATAGAATGACTAAGAATCTGGATTCAAGAAGGAAAAAGTTGATCTGGTCATTGGTTCTTTGGTCACCAATGCTATTTATAGTAGACCATATGCATTTTCAGTACAATGGATTTCTCATTGGGATTTTGTTGATTTCACTTTCATATTTGGAGGAAGGAAGGGATGTGTTGGGTGGCTTTGTGTTTGCTGTGCTATTGTGTTTCAAGCATTTATTTGTAGTGGCAGCACCAGTCTATGCCATTTATTTATTGAGGCATTTTTGCCGTGGCCGACTGCTTAGAAGTGTTGGCCGATTCTTGCTTTTGGCAGCTGTAGTTGTAGTAGTCTTTGCAGCTGCATTTGGGCCCTTCATCTACCTTGGGCAGGTAACTGGAGATCTTATAATTTTTTAAAATGAAAAGGGAGATAAAAAGACAATAATGAGCTTCACTTGTAGGACAAAAGTCAGATCAATTTTTTTCAATCGCACTTATTATTTTGCTATTATTGTTAGTTGTTAAAATGGGTATGTGCATAACTATAAATTCATCTATGAACTTGACTTAATGGATTAAGCAATGTGATTTAAATTTTGTCCTCACTATTATCGTGTGGCTCTAGAAAAGATATGATCTACTCTTATCTGTCTCCCTTCCCACTTCATATAAAGTTCCTTTAAGATATGCAAGTTTATTAATCTTAGCATTGGCTAATTTAAGATTTAGGAATATAATATGGAGAAGTCATGGAACTGACGTCTTTGGTGAATCCTTCATATTTCTGGAATTATAATCATAGATTAGTGTAATGGAACTTAATTGCGTCAGGCGAGATAAATGAAGACCAGAGAGTTGTTCTACTAGTGACGATATTTTTGCTGCTATTAATTTTCTGCAATGTAGTTTTGTCTGACAGAAAATAAAAGAAATTGTAGATGTTTTTGAATTTTGGTTTTCTTAATAATCATTCAGATGTTAAATTGCAGGAAGTACAAATCATCCGTAGACTGCTACCATTTGGCAGGGGGCTTTGCCATGCATATTGGGCCCCAAACTTTTGGGTATTTTATATTATATTGGACAAAGGGCTTGCTTTTATGCTCAGAAAACTAGGATTTGAAATTCCAACAACAACAGCTCCGTTCACTGGTGGGCTTGTAGGGAATTCCTCTCCATTTTCTGTGTTACCTCAGGTATGCTCTACGTGAATAAAATTTATCTGTTATGGAAAAAAAAAAGGAAAAATTACTGAGGTCCCAGGGGAGGAATATATAATCACCATAGAGTCCCAATGACAAGTGAGCAGCAAAAGTTTTGTTGTCATTTCTTGCATTGGAACTTGTCATTAACTTGTTATGAGACTCAGTAATTACTTTCCTTATTTGTGACCATATAGTGATTTTCCTTAAAAAAAAAAAAGAACAGATATGTGATGCCATCGTTAGCTTGCTCATTATGTGTTTGCATCATAGTAGATTTCTGATATAAGTTATTATATGCATTTTGCTAGTTCCTGTATTGATTAGATGTGTTTCTTGCGAATCGTTTAGAATTTGATGAATAAACTACATTGTTCATAGCTCATAAATGATATGACTTGTTATATATGTTATGATAGAAGTTGTAATAAAAACAATCTTTGCTAGAGGATGAAAAGAAATTTAATCACTAAAAAAGCCGATTCATATCAGATGACTTTCCCTAAGCTGTCAACGCATATTTAGAAGTAAGACCCGATGACTAAATGCGTACCTATAAAAGTGGTGTGCCAGTGACCTATAAACATGGAAATCATGAAAAAAATGGCAAGTTATGTCTAAGATAACTTCTACTGTAATGTTAATTATCATTCTTCGATCATCCTTGCATGCTTCTTATTTCTACTATATGTCAATATTGGGGAAGTGGTACTCTATAATCTTATTATATATAATGATGATTTTAATAAAAAAGGCTCAATCCATGGTTGTGTTGGTTGGCCCACTTAACCATAGCCAACATGATCCTAAAACATGGGTACTTCATTAATTTAAGTAAATCACAGAAGCCAAATAAATTAGTTAATTTTAACAAATATGATACAATCTCCTTAAAGTACCTTTGAATAACATTAGATTATATATATGTATATATATCTCAATTTTTAAGTTAGGTAAATTAGTTTGAGAAAAAATAATATGACTAACAAAGTGGATTAAGGTCTTATATTTAGGATCAAGTCTAACTCCTTACCTAGCTTCTATATTAAGAAGAATGAGTTAAACAACTCAACAATAATCGTTTACCATGAAATGTTTGTAGAATCAAGATGATTTTATGGGTTAGAATTGGTTGAAGAATGATTAATATCTGCTTTAACATTGTCTCCATTTTAGCCATTTCAACTTCCTAAATCTGGGTGTCCATGACATTACTAGCTGAAGACTAGTGGTTCCCCACATAAGACGTGGTTATTGTTTTATGTTGAGTTTAATAATGCTTTAATCGTTCAATTGTGAGTGCCATGTGTATTTATATGCTTTAGTTAACAAATCTAACTAATCTGCGTGCAGGTCACTCCCTCGTCAACCTTTACAATAGTTTTGCTTGCTTTATCTCCTTGTCTTATCAAAGCATGGAAGAAACCACAGAAGCAAATGATTACTAGATGGGTAGCCTATGCTTACACTTGTGGTTTTGTCTTTGGGTGGCATGTTCATGAGAAGGCATCACTCCATTTTGTTATCCCCCTTGCCTTTGTTGCAGTGAAAACTATGGATGATGCTAGGCATTTCTTTTTGTTGTCTGTAGGTATGCAACTTTATATATGTTTTTTTTCCCCCAGGAAACAATAGTACATTGCATTATTGACATGGCTATGAATTTGCTAATTGCTATCAAATAATGACTTGTACTTGGGCAAAAGAACAATTAGTTGACTATGGTGCATGAATTTCTAGTTATAGGTTAATTATCGTTCGTGTTTTTTTTTTTTTTTTTGGATAGAGTTATCATTCAGTGTTTATTGCAACAATGAGCATCATCATTATAATGACAGTTAAATTGACCAAATTTAATTTTGATAGCTCAAATATGAAGTTTTTAATTTGCAATTTTTACGTGATAAATATGTTTTTGTAAAGAAATTATAATCAGCAGATGCTATTTATTTTAAATTCTCCCCTTTCAAAAAAATTCAAAATATAAAATCAAATTAATTTAGAATCAGATATTCCAGATTGAATTAAAATGGTTTACATTTGTAATGAGCACTCCATGCCTATCATGGTGATAGGCATGCGATGCGATTATGCTAGTCATCTTATCTGGCAACTAATGCTTACATTTCTAATTGCAGCATCTTGCTATTCACTATTCCCACTGCTATTTGAGGCACAAGAATATCCAATCAAAGTTCTATTGCTACTTCTATGCACCATTTTGATGTGGTTAGAGTTTTCAGAGCTATTTTGCCATGCTTGTGATTCGGAAGCATTAAGAGCACAGGCTGTTCATACAAAGAAAAGAGATTATCATTATGGTTCTAGAAATGATCCAAGTTTAGCTAAAGAAAAGAAAGTAAGTTTGGTTGGGTGGATTGGAAGAGTTATCTGGTTGGTCTTGTTATTGTAGAAATCTGGGGGCAGTTTTTGCATCCTCTAGTTTTGGGTGATAAGCTTCCCTTCCTACCTCTTATGTTAGTATCAATATATTGTGCATTTGGCATCATTTACTCTTGGATTTGGCAGTTACAATCCATAGTTAAGTCCTCATGAAATTTTGTGAATTGGATCTTCTACATAATCATACACCAGCATTTAGAAGAGTGAGATGAGAAAGTATGATTTTGTATACAGTTTATTTTCTCTGTTTACGTTATATTTTCTTCGTCCCCCCCCCCCCCCCCGGTCTTACAATAAGTAGTACCAGTTCCGGTATTGCTTTTCGCATGTAAGTTGTTCAGGTTATTATTGT